TCGAAGCGGAAAGTTAGCGCTGATGTCTCTGCGGTGTTGATGCATTTCTAAAAACATAATGCATCAGACGATCCTGTACCACGCACGTACGGCTCGCAGTCGAACCGGAAAGTTTGCGCTGATGTCTCGGCGGTGTTGATGCATTTCTAAAAACATAATGCATCAGACGATCCTGTACCACGCACGTACGGCTCGCAGTCGAACCGGAAAGTTTGCGCTGATGTCTCGGCGGTGTTGATGCATTTCTAAAAACACAATGCATCAGACGATCCTGTGTATGCGTGACAGTGAGAGACAGGCTCGTAATATGCACCCCGACCTCTGGGCGAAAGTCTTTCGGGACGTCCGAGATATGTGTATGCGTATATGTCTTGTAGATGGGCTTGAGGCGCGGTTGACGACGTCCAAGGTCGACAGAAGCCGGCCCGCCACATCTCCACCACGAAAGTTATCCATGGGACTCCGGGTGCCATTCTCGATGGCTTCCTCCCCTCTTTAGAACCGCGGGCACGTCCTTGGTGCCTATCTTGCCGGACCCTCTGACATAGATAACATCTGGAACCATGGCGCTACACCTCGAGCTTGGAATCGTGCTCGACAATCGCGCCCCTGCGAACCTGCTACTTTCATCTGCGTAGGGCTGAACGAAGAGGTTTACCGCATCGACATGAAAGCGCTCAAGGCGACTGTGAATTGCGACATGGGAGAGGCGAGCTCACATACAAATGTCGATCGTCCCAGTTTGAATCGGATCTGACGTGCGGTCTGATGATATAGGGCTACTCGCTCTATTCAATGGTACACTTTCACGACTCGATGATCTCCTCCTGATCTCACGCATACACCCAGGGAGATGACGAAGCGCTCATGAAAACTATCCACCTCGCCAACATCGCCTGCGGATTCCATGCCTCGTACATCCACCCTCTCTCCGCCATCTTATATAACTCGCGCTGACCCTCGTGACTCCCGCAGAGACTTCATGATCATGGACAAGACCGTGCGGCTCGCGAAAGAAGCCGGCGTGCGCGCGGGCGCGCACCCCTCCCTCCCGGACAGGCAGGGCTTCGGCCGGCGCGAGATGGCGATGGACCCGGACGAGCTCGCGAACTGCTTCACGTACCAGGTCGGCGCCCTGAGCGGCTTCCTCGCCAAGCACGGCGTCGAGCTCAGCCACGTACGTATATATACTGCTTTACACAGCCATATCCCCATCCTTCGTCTCCCCCCCAACGGATATCTCGCTCTCCTTGATTTTTTTCCAGCGTTTTGACGAAGAGCGGCAGATCAAGCCCCATGGGTCGGTCTATGGCCAGACCGCGCGCGACCCCGTCCTGGCGCAGGCGGCGATGGACGTGGCGAAGGCGTTCGGGGTGCCGTTCATGGGCCTCGCGGGGACGTGTCACCAGACCGCGGCCGAGGAGGCTGGGGTGAAGTTCATCGCGGAATGGTTCGCGGATCTGGAATACAGCCCAGAGGGGAAGCTGCTTATCACGAAGTGAGTGTGTTCGCTGGGAGCCGTACTGTTTCTCAATGGGGGAAACACAGAAAACACGACCCGGTCCCTTTGGACGAGGTGCGGAAGCGGGTAAGTGTGTCTTTCGTTCGTAGACGGCGTTAGTGAGTTCAGATATCACATGATCGCAGGTTACGACGTTGTTGAACGAGCATCTGGTGACAACTACTGCGGGCACGCTCCTGATCGGAGAAGGCGTCACGGAAGTGTCGATCTGCTGTCACTCGGACACACCGGTGCGCAGGGCTTGAGCGCTGTAGCTTATGCGTCGGTTCATGCCGGCTGTTTGTAGGACGCGGTGCAGATCGCTCAGACAGTGAAAGCTCTGGTGGATGAGAGCAACGCGCGGAGCGGGTACGCTTGACCCGCAATATGCTGTCATAGAAGTGCGTGCCGTAGCAGCTTGAAGTGCATCAATAGTTCCGCTTACATGCTTACATCCATATACTGCAGATCATAGTCCATAGCGCCTAGTGACATCGCCGCCCGCAGTCTGTTCATGATGCGTACCTCGATGTATGAATGGCAATGGTCCAATGGAAGACATTTATCTCTCTACGTGTGCATGTCTATTTTTTCGGGACAGCCCGCATCAACTGCCGACAAAGGCGTATCTGGCGACCACAAGCCGCGGAAAGCGGACGAACAAGACACCACAAATCGCGTTATCTCTCAGCAGCTGCTGCCACTTACCTCTCCGACTTCGGCGCATCACCTAACTGGACGCTGTTGAGCTCAATTCGCGTCTAACGCCGTCGTCGTGGGTATGTCCCCGCATCTCGATTCTCAGAAGACGGATGGACGTTCAGGCCGTAGACGCGAACTCCATCATGATCCATGACCAGTCATGGGATCGTCCGAGTACCCAATCTCGCTGCTCGCATGACGCGGAGCTAAAAGCTCGCGTCGTCGTGTCTCTCGGTGCCGCCCGACTCAGTATCGGGGGTGTCTTCACGAATTCGTTAGATAACTCCATTCGTTAGTTATACAATGGCCGCCGCTGCGTGTACACTTGCACGCTTGAACGATGAGGTAGGCGATGGGCGAGAGTTCAGAGAGCCATATGCATGGGAGCCCGTGTGAACCGCAACGTTAACTGGAGGTTCAGGGTGGAATTTGAAATGCCCCTGAGTGCCTTCGATTACCCCGCCCGGGAGCCTCATCTCGGTACATATAAGTACAGGCCATGGTCCGCCCTGAGCAGCAAGTCAAACAGAAACTCACACACATCCTACTGTCTACATTACCACCATGAGCACGACGGGGAAGGTGCGAGTCGTCGTTGTGCCCGGTACCGTGACCGACCTTGACGCGGTTGTGCTCTTGCTTCAGGATAAGCAGGCTGACCAAGTCAATCGGCAACAGGTGAGTAGTCTCATTTTGGATGAGTGCAACAGGAACTATCGGTGAGGATCTACATGCCACCTTCGAATGTGCGTTGACGTGCTACACCCCTAGACTCATCCCGCTGCTCTCGTAGTACCACTTCGAACAACCGGACAAGGCGGCGCATGCAGAGGGCATTTCCAAGGTCTGCCATACTGAAGTCACTCGCCTTGAATGTATCCTAAACTCGTATCGCAGACAACACCCCTTTACCTGCGGAAGGCCCCCTTACGACTGCACGTCCTCATCGTCGGCTGTGGGCTTGGCGGTCTGGCCGCCGCCCACACGCTCGCTCAGGCCGGACACAGGGTGACGATGATCGAGTCCGCACCGGCCATCGGTGAAGTCGGCGCCGGAATCCAGGTCTCGCCAAACGTCACCCGGCTGCTCCACTGCTGGGGACTCGCACCTGCCCTGGCGCGCATCGCGGTTAAGCCGGAGGGGATCGTCTTCAGGAGATACGACACGGGCGAGCGCGTTGGCTACACTCGCTGGGGTACATCGATCGAGCGGGAGTTCGGCGTGCCGTACTACCACATCCATCGCGCGGACTTTCATAGTCTACTGTATGACCTCGTGAAGGGCCAGGATAGCGTGGAGATCAGGTTGAGGTCGACGGTGGTTGGTGTGGATCCGGAAGTGCCTTCTGTCACGCTACAGACGGGAGAGGTGGTCAAGGGGGACATGCTTATCGGTGCGGATGGGTGCGTACCTCCGACCCTTCTATGGCACTGCGCTCATGTAGGTATTGGTACAGCGTGAAGAGCTTCGTGCAACATATCGTCACCGGCTCGACCAACCCAGCCGATCCAACCGGAGACGCGGCATATCGCGCTATCATCCCGACAGATTTCATGCTCAAGGATCCCGAGCTTAAGCCCTTCGTTGATGAACCGGAGATGACGGCCTGGATGGCCCCTGGACGGCATCTCATGGCATACAATATCGCGAGTCTCCTGCATCCCTTGTCCTCGTGGAGACGAAACTGACCACTATCGCGAAATACAGCGCGCGAAAAGGGAGTTTAATCTCGTCCTGCTACACCCCGACGATGGTTCTGTCGAATCTTGGACGGCAGAGGGGAGTGCGGACAAGATGCGACGCGACTTCGCCGACTTTGAGCCAAGGTAGGTGACCCCCTCACACACCCACGCATGTACACCACAACCATGATCTTTATGCGCAGGGTGCAAAAACTCCTGTCGCAAGTCCAATCGACCCTCAAGTGGCGCCTCATGGACCGACAACCCCTCCCCACATGGGTGCACCCGTCCGGACGCGTCGCCTTGCTGGGCGACTCTTGCCATCCTATGCTCGTACGTCTTGGCTCGCTACCTGGGGGGATACCTTGCTCATGTCAAACATCCCTAGCCCTACCGCGCACAAGGCGCCGCGATGGCCATCGAAGACGCCGCCGTACTCGGCAACCTCTTCTCGCGGATCTCCTCCCACGCACAGATCGGTCCGCTCCTGCGCGCATACCAATTCCTGCGCTACGACCGCGCCTCCGCGACCCAGTCCTCCTCCCGCCTGAACCAGAAGATCTTCCACCTGCCCGACGGCCCGGAGCAGCGCCACCGCGACGCCCAGATGCGTGCCGCGATGCGCGTGGAACTCGGCGAGTCGAACGACGACGGGAGCGACGCGGGGAACCCGAATCAGTGGGCGGACAAGGTTAAGAACCGAATCCAGTTCGGGTACGACGCTGACGCGGAGGCAGAGCGGTGGTGGGCGCAGCACGGGCGCGAGTTGGAGGCGCTGGCGAAGGCGAGGCTTTAGTCTTGCTTTGGATCGGGATTCTAACATTTGCTACTTTCCGACCACACTGTTCACATGCGATTAACAGGAAATTTGTGCCAATACGCAGTAATTGTAGGGTGCGGCCTACTTGCGGTACTGGACTTTGTAGATGATGCATTAGGATTCGCCGTCCACCTGCATATAAAGATCATATAAGCGCTAATCCCGACTCCCCCGGAGCTTGCGGAGGTTGGAGTTGGTTAACATCTCACTCATCTCGAGCTGTGACCGGCTGTGTGATCCTGCCAAAACGTGATGGTTTGTGACTTCAATTCGTGAACCCGCCCTTTTCCGAGGTTCCGATATCCACCGGCTGACCAGCAAATCTTCTCACGCTTCGAAATATTCACGTGCACTTGTCCCTGTATCATTCTTTGCTCTGAAGTCTGTTCATTCTCTGTTCATTCTCTCCTCTCTGGGCAACACAAATTTTCTTGAGCTTACTGCTATCCGTCAGCCAGTCTTGCACTGACAGTGAAGTGGCGAGACAAGAAGGCGATCATCATAGAGAAATCTCGAGGATTTGAGTTATGTTCCAACAAGCCGTCAGACTCAGAGCATGAACATTGGTGATGCAAACTTGATCCAGAGCCTGAGAATGCAGAGAGCGACAACGTACAAAGTGCTGACAACGATCTCGATGGTGACATGATGCGTGACTCAGACTCTGAGGTCCTCTGCACGCCATAGGCGGCATCGTGCCCGGAGTGAATATCCCACCGACCATTTCGTCGTCGGCGATGGCATCAATTTGAGATCACTGTTCTTGCATGAGTTGCTCAATGATGGCACCAGGGAGTCTGTCAGTCAAACAAAGGCTCTAGGAGCCCGGAAAAGCAGACAGACAAAGACAAAGATCATAGCATGCCGTCGGCTTCCGCTGAACCTGTATCTCCGGTGAAATCCCAGTGGAAGCCGCAGTGAGGTGAATGACATGTCATTCTCATCATAGAATGACAGTAGATTTACACCATAGTATGTATGGAGCATGAACATGAGGTGAATCACACCCCGTGAATCTCAGCGTATTCACGGATTCACAGGACACCATCAACAGCTTGCTCGCACTTACTAGGCTACAATGGCATTTCCGTTGGATCTTGGTACTCACACCGGCCGCCTGCTATTTCACGCCTAGCAGGGGTTGCTATCAATTTCATGCTGCATTCAATACAACGAGAGTTTGGGAGTCGGATCCGGCGCGCACCTTGGTGCGGCGCAATACCCCCAAGTAGCAATCGTCTGACGCGATTGGCTGAGCTAAATTATGTAATCTCCTGGATGATTCATTTATCACCATGCACTTTTCCAGTCTGCCCACATCATCACCGTCGAGCCACTGCTTCATACCATGACAATACTTATACCTACACCGGGATTCTTCAGCTAGATAGGACGGACTCTCGGGCTATAAATGACTGACGCTTGGCCTGAAGACATACACCGGATATCCCGAGTCTTGAATTCATCGTTCCTCGTTCTCGTTCGCGTATGGAGCTCGGCTTAAACCCGTCGTCGGAGTCGTCGCCACGAATAGCGCGTAACTCTCTCTCTAACGGCTGCCGGTGCCTTCATTGACATTGTCTACACAACTGCAGTCATAATCAGCTATGCAATTAAACGGAGCTGGCCCCAGCTAGGGCAAGGCCGACGAGCTGCGTCAGAGGTTGGAGTCCTTGGACCACCACCGCGACTCGACGTCAGGGTCTCACTAAAACTCACGGATTATCAGAACTAAAATCGCTATATATGCTCACCTACAAGCCTTGATTCACCGAATGGCATTCTACTCGACTACTTATCTGGAAACGAGGTCTGAAAATACGTCTCGTAGTTCTCGGGGCATCATGATTCATGACGGGAACAGTCATCCTTAGAGGAAGCCCTGAACCGTATACCCAGTCTACCCTTGCCTTTGCCCGTAGCCTCGAAAAGATAGTCAAAGCCGCTGAGCGCGTGTCTCCCCGTAATGAGGGTGTTAAGGGGGCGCTGCATCCACTTCACCGAATCCGGAGCGTTTGTTGACGGTGACGGATCCTTCTTTTTGTCGACCACCGTGAACGAATAGAGCGGTTGGGGCAGTCCGGGCACGGTCACGACAATCCTCTCCCCCACAATTACTTTCCCTTTCGACTGCGATGCGTTGGTATTTGAGTCCAAAGGCGGCGACACGCCGAATGAGACCTCGATGATGGCATATCCGAGGCCGCTGTCCATGAGCAAAGATACTCCGTCCACCTGGATGTTCGAGGAGGGCACGGCGAAGGATACATTTGGCGCAACGTAATCACCTTCGCGCTCGGGACGGGGAGCTAGATCGACGAGGCTAAATCCCTCCATGTTATCGGATACGATTCCAAGATCGACGTATCGATCCTTCACACTCAGGATGAATCCCGCGTCGGCATTGCCCGCGCCCACGTCTTCTAGTGCCAGGAATGTGTTGATGTCGAGAAAGGGATAGACGTCGTTCCCGGCAGTGTCTTTCGGCGCCACGGTGTCCCTGTCAAACCCAAACCCAAGCATGCGTACACTATGTCCCCGTCGCCCAGGGATCGTGCGTGCTGGCCCGATACCACTTGCACAGGCGAATCATCATCGGCTTCGTCCTCGCCTTCACGGCAGGCTGAACGTCGGGTGGCGATGTGAAGTTCACGCGGGCACGAACCCATTCGCCCTGATACACGCGTCCGCTGCTGGTATACACGAGCTCGAAAGGCTTGCCCGTGCGGACGTAGTCTCCCGGTTGCAAGCAGACCTCCCCGACCACGATACCGGTCGAACCAGTGTCAATCATAAAGTCCGTTGGCCCAGAACCACCGATACTGGTCGCGATGAAGAGGTCATGTTCCATAGAGCTGTAGGGGTCTAAGGGTATGCGATAGCTTTTGTCTCTACATTGGGCGATCAGTCTCTGTGGCGGAATCCTACACGCACCCTAGCTTCGGAACTTCTGAGCTGCCGTTGGAATGAAAGCGAAATCCAAGCTGGCCCTTCTTCGGCCCGCACGCTCGAAAAAGGTAGGCAAAGCCCGTCAACACATGCCTGCTGATGTTGATGAACGGTTGTCGATATTGGCGCCAGTAGACCATATTTGGCGCTAAATGACCTTCAGATGACTGGTCCCCCACTGTAAACGCGTATAGCGGATCCGACAACCACGGTGCAGTTATAGCGACCTTTTGACCAGCCTCGACGACGTCACTCTCCTTTAGAGTCGCTGGGGAATTGCCATACTGGGTTTCAACTACGGCGTCTCCGCGCCCGGTATCTATCAGCAGGGACGTGGCCGCCAGTGCGATATCCTTTCGAACCTGGACGCTGACCGTGGGTGCAATGTAATCCCCAGCTCGAGTGGGGTCGGGCTTCAGCTCCACGCATTGGAACTCCTTCGAGTTCTGGTCCGTGATGCCGAGCTCCACGTGGTTATCGCGCATGTTTAGGATATACCCAAGTTGAAGACTATAGTCATCAATCAATAGGAACGGATTGATATGCGTCGGGATGTCGTTGCCATCCGGGTCCTTCCCCGTTGAGTCTAGGCCGAACCCGGCGCCAAGAATATATACTGAAGGGTGGTAGTTCCAAGTTGAGATGTCGTTCGCGCGGCATCGTTCCACCACGCGGATGAACATCGAGCGAGTTGTAGCGATAGCCACTGGGTCTCCGTCGGCGGAATGGAAAGATATTTTGGCGCAAACCCAATGACCCTCGTATCGCGAGCCGTTTCCGGAGCAAACAAAGGTGAAGGGCTTCCTAGTCTCATGGTATGTAGTCCCTCGAAGGTCGCACGCCGCGATCATGAGTCCGGTCGACCCTGTATCGACTGTGAAGTGGAAAGTCCGACCGCCACCAACGCTGGCATAGACGTCCAATCCGGACTTGATGGTGCTGTTGCTGGTGAATGGAAGTGAATAACTCTTGGTGTTCCTGGCGCCAGTGTCGGTCAACCCGAAACATGGTGAAAGGTAACGATAAGTTTACCTAGCAGCAGACGATGGAGGTATCGCTGAAGGTCGGACGTCTATCATTGCGTTGAACGGGGGCACTGGACGGGCATACCGACCTTTATGACGTGACAAAGTGAAGCACTGAGTGGATAGACAAGGGAAACGCAGTGTCCCGATGACGTCTTTCTTATATTAGATAATCTCCAACGTGACTACATTTGTATCCCAGTGACGTCTCATGTGTACGTTGTTGGTAAGTCCCTGGCGCTCGATCATATTGACAGCGAAGCTCGTGTAGGCTCGGTATTCCCTTGTTCGGGTTCGAAGATGGACGGCCCGCATCGTGGATGCAGCGTGCCCGGAGGGTATTTGCGTTATGCACTGAATGCTGTGACCCAGTTGGGTACGTTGATAGCGGTCCTTGCCAAATTCCAGAAGGCACGAGATCGCTCGGTGGATCGTCCATCATCTGTACACAGAAGTCAATTCAAGTTCACGACGATGTAAGTTGTAAGATAGAAGATCAGGACTCTCGAGCGTATGAATAGAGAGCCAGGGTAAGGTTTCGTCAAAGTGAACTCCGACTAGTGCACAGCAAGAAATCATCACAGAAGGGGCGATGCGGTAACTCCGAAGCGTAAAAACGACAATGCCCACCTGCTGGAGTACGGAAAGCAGGCATGACTGTAGTTGAATGTCACTCAAGACACGGGGTCAAGATATGCGGTCTATTATAGTAAATCGCGTCAGCGTGTGTCGAGGCGTTGTAAGGTTGATGAAGGAAGGAAGGAATCAGGACTTTCAAGCGTAATAGAAAGCCAGGGTAAGGTTGTCGTCAACGGGTGTATCCGACTGGTGCACAGCAATAATATCATCATAGCGATGTTTGGGATAACACTACATTGACAAGGTTCAACGGTAACTCACATTTCATAAAGGGTGCCCATCTTCTTCACGTCAAACAGATGGTCGAATTAGCAAACACATTCATTCGGTACTATGCAATCTGTGTGGTGTTGTATTAGTCAACGAGTTACGTCGAGGCAGCGATGGCGACTCACATTATACAGGCTGAAATTCAGGCAGCGAGATATAAGCAGTGGAATGACCGTCGACAGCAGAATATGGTCCATACGAACTCTAGTATACCAACGCTGACGGATCTTAGACCACGCCGGAGCCGGTGATCATGATCTTGCCCTTGGTCGAGCCCGATGGCGTGCCCTTCGACTCGATGAGCTTGACCACATCCATGCCCTCAACGACCTCGCCGAATACGACGTGCTTGCCGTCAAGCCAACGAGTGACGACAGTAGTAATGAAGAACTGTGAACCGTTGGTGTTGGGGCCAGCGTTCGCCATGGAGAGCAAGCCGGGCTTGTCGTGGAGGAGCTTGAAGTTCTCGTCTAACCATTCGTAATGACAGTCGGCTCGCATACGTTTAGAGACCATCACGTACCAGCGAATTTCGCGCCATATATCGACTTCCCACCAGTGCCATTGTGGTTGGTGAAGTCGCCGCCTTGAAGCATGAACTGTAGAAGCCGCGTCAGATACAATGATACCCGAATATCGCGCACGTACGTTCGGGATTACACGGTGGAAGGTACTCCCGGTGTAACCGAATCCATGTTGGCCGGTGGCCAACTCCCGGAAATTCTTCGCAGTCCTCGGAACAATGTCATCGTACAGCTTGAACACAATCCGGCCAGCGGGCTGCTGGTTGATGGCAACATCAAACTGCGAGCGATGTAGACCATGAGATGCGAACCCAATACGCGTCATGAACAGACTCGACTCACGAAAACGTTCGACCTGTGTAGCGCGTTTGCCACTTGAGCGACGATGACAAGCATGGAAATATAGAAATTCACATTGGTTTCGTGGCTGAAGCTGCTGTCGACGCGAACCGGCGTAAGAATGACATGGCAACGACGAAGAGGAAAGCGAGCGAGACGCGAAAGCGCGAAAAAAATGGGGCAAGGCAGAAAGAGCCGATGGCGCGGGAGAAAGTCGCTCACGATTTTTATTTTCCTTTTCGGTACGATGTGCCTTTAGATCTCGTTGTCGACTGTCCTAGCGTTCACCTAGCTCTAGTTGGGCTATCGGGGCAAGCTCCAGCGTCGCCTTCATTTATACAACGAGCTGTCTCGATTGTAGAGTCTAGGCCCTGCTTTTTGGGGTGGTTCACTCGGCAATGAATATAATAGAAGGTAAGCAATGCATGCTGGATCGAGACCGATTGTCCAGGATGAACGATGAGATGCGAGAGAAAGAGGAAGCGCGGCACCCGCAGCATCAGATTCTCTCATCGTACCTTGTATCATAAAGCAAGACCTCGGCCTCGTGTACCGATAACGCAGGACAGCATGCAGTTCCCCGACGTGTTTCCACCTCGAAATAGACAACTTGTAGACAATCCTCGCAATCAATGCCCCGAACGGTCGCCTTGTGACAACGAGGACTGACCGAGCTGAAGAATGGAAGGCTGACGCACACCTCCGGACGTGTCTTCGAAACGGAGGTTGACGACAGCTATAGTATTCGCGCTTCCGGCCTAGACACACTTGAGACGCGTGTAATCCTAAGGTTTGCCGCACCAATAGCGATAAATCGGGGCCGAGAAGGTATGCATCGTTCTTGTCGTCTATGGGTGTGTGGGGCCACCGATCTGACTCCCTCTCGTTGATAAGGCTGAACAACTCGGCGCCGTCAGCTCCCCGAGAGGGAATACCGCGATACGTACGTCAAGGCGGGTGCCATCTCCTATCTTCACGCGCTGATCGCTGGAATTTGTATAGCAATACACCTACTATTGAATGCATGAGAGGTTACTCTGACAGTGTATCAGGCTCGGCAAGACGACGCGCTCGGGTTTCGTACACCACTGGGCTGCGAGATCTCCGACCCTACGTGGATGCACGTCGTTTTTCCGTGGTCATTTACCCCGAGTCATGCTTGTGAGAAAGGGGAGCTCATCATAGGTGGATGATGCAGTATTCAACTGTCTTTGACGTGAGGCATGCTTCGTCTACGCGGTGACAATTCTATGACAACTAACTCCGGTGTATCGAAGCATTACGCAGTCCTCTCGATATCAAGGACAAGACAGCCGCTATATGTGCGATCATCAGGATGCAGATTATTTCAGGTACAAGATAGGACTTCCAAGACTGTCCGCGTGGTAGCTATGCGGCGCAACATCTGCGATACGACTTCAAATGTGGTAATTCACACAATCGCTCTAATTCCGGGCGCGACATATCGACCATTACATGCCATCATGTCATCCTTATCCATGCATGTCAATGAATCGTCATGAGATGTGTTCCATTACAGCGTGCTCGACGTGTGTCGTGGTGACAATATTAAGCCTTCGGCGCCACTGGGAACCACTTGTGAAACACATTATCGGGATCATACTTCGCCTTCAATTGAGCGAGACGGTCGTAATTCTCGCCGAAAACGTCCCGGACTCGTTCATCTCCGAGCCCGTAGTTGGAATACTGCAGCGGAGTACTCAAATGAGAGGAATGCTGATCTGCATCGCGATAAACTCGGACTTACCCCTCGTGCGCCTGCGAAGTCTGTATTGTCATCATTGTTCTCTAAGTATGCCACCTGCTCTCCCGACCATGCGCGCATCTGAAGTCATGTTCGGTGCAATGAATGGAACCGGCAACGAGCCCGTACGCACAAAGCTGTCCAGTGCTGCTGTCTTCCACCTCATCGCAAGGTTGATATTATACCATCGTCCACGGTTAGCGAAAGACGTCGCTGAGTTTGGAACAGACACCACTTTCTCGAAGGGGTGTAGTTCGACGATAAGAGCGGAACTTGTGTTTGTCAAGCTGAAAACGGTCGTATCTGTGAGCAAGCATCGAACTTACGCGCCAGCTTCAGGGTGAGAAGTTGTTAATTTGGCATATTCATCAAACAAGTGCTGAAAACGTGAAGGTTCCAGCGACGCAAAAGCGGTGCTCTTGAACAGCTTTCTATCTCCATGAGTCGCCATTGGGTTCTATGAGATTCACCAATGAGCGAGGGGATAAATATATCGCACTGATCACATATTGACCTGCACGGCATTCAGGGATGAATAGGGCATCTCTTGTGTCATGTCCGCGACAGGGCCGACGTCGTAGAAAACCTTGAATTTGTCTTTCCCTTCATCTGCGCTGCCGTTATAGAAGGGAATGACAACTAAACATGGCTATTCAGGCGGCCTTCGCTCTCTTGCTTGGTGATGTATGAGAATTCCCAGCATACCTTGAATTCTGGCGGAGGGCATGCCATAAAAATCATCGCACTCTCATTCTCCCCCGCTGCTCTTGCCCAGTTCTGTGCGGCGCCAAAGAGAGCAGATAGTGCTGTAGGCGGAAATACGAGCTATTGGTCCTGTAAGCGAGTTCAACGGGTGCAATCACAAAGGATGAGCTCACGAGACCGGACCAGATGGGGTTCGTTTGTGGATATGCCCGTAATGTGAAATATGTGACGACGCCATAATTTGTTCCAGCTCCCCGAACAGCCCAGAACAGGTCCGAATGTCGGCTCTCGTTGGCGGTAACCACCTCGCCGTTCGCTAGTACTACCTCGACCTCTTCGAGATTATCGATAGTGAGGCCGTATTTTGCGGTGAGCCACCCATACCCTCCGCCAAGCGTAAGGCCACCGACACCTATCGGAGATCAACTGTCAGTGTACCATGGTTGGCCCGAATCGGAGGACTGCGCTTGCCTGTATGGTTTACCGTGCCTCCTACAGTGGCCAGATTGTATTTCGCAGCTTCTGCATCAACATCAGCCCATACCGCGCCGCCCCCCACGACGATGCGACAAGGCCCTTCATCGACGCGAACAGAGTTCAGCCGCGCGAGATCGATAACCAATCCTTCGGAGGAAGAGGCGCCTGAACACGAATGACCCCCACCCTTGATAGCGATATCTAACGCATTGCGTGTTGCATATAGGATCTGACGCCCCGGTCATAGAGATGAAGTGCTTATGACCGCAATGCGCGTACCGCTTTCGATACATCTGAGGCAGATTCGGGAAACACAACGAACTTGGCCCTCTTCTCTGTAGATGCATCAGTGCAGATCATCATCGTGTCTTCGGATTTAGACTTACCTGCGTTCTCCGCCCATCTGCGCAGAGAGCTCTCGTAGGCCTCGCCGTCTTCGGGCGTCAGGATCTGATCCTTGCGTAGATGCAAGTAGATGGCACTCATGGCCGACATCGGTGTGATCAATGATGATCAAAGTAGCAGAGCGAGTTGGCGAGAACACCGAGAACAGTTGACCGTGCGCCATGGTAAGCATCGTTCTCATGGCAGGTTTCATGGATTCACAAGCACACGGTCGTGCACTTGGTGTGCAAACCGGCATATCTCAACCGGGAAATGAGGTACCAGATCGAGTATGTGTAGCGCCACCATCGGACCTTCGCCCCGACAGAGACTCTCCTGACGAACGTGCACTCGAGTCGTGATAAAACCCCCACCGAAAGACACGTATTACGCCCTATAAAATATGACTGACACGTAGGGCCTCCGTAGTATATAAGTAGAGTACAAAAGATCATGTACTCTAGCTTTCTCCTGCGCACTCAACGAGACTTACCCCGGTCTATTGTGTGAACTCTGAGGAACTCTAAACCGTGTGACTACACTTCGCTTACAAAGCTTACCCGTCGTCACATATTTTTGACCATTTACTTCTTGTGAGTAAAACAATCAAATCGTCTCTAGGCTGACTTCCTTTGATTTAGGTTCCAACTCGGATTGATCACCCGAGTCTATCCTATCATTGGACGTCGTCCGTTTCGTAAGTACTACAGTTACATTTATCCAATACAAGAATTACGCTATGGTTGCTCCTACGGATAATGTACCTCGACGCGTCCTTCGCAGTGACTCGCGACGAACCGAGTCCGGCGATAGTGCCGCAACCGGCAGAACCATCTCAAGGGTCGACTCCCGAGAGATGGATCGTCTGCAAGATAACGTGGGTGAGCCCGAAGCTCCCCGCGCCATCGCCATACCGGGAGGATGGGGCGCTATCCATGCGCCCGCCTCCAATGTCGGGCTCTCAGCTCCGATCGAGATTCCGCTGCCGTCTTCGTCGACCGGCTCCGGACCAATGACAGCCCTGAGTGGGCTTACTTCGCTGTCTATAATAGACAGGAGTACGAGTGTTCCGGATGATGACCAGAACGCATGGACTGCCGTGCCCCGCAGGTCACCGCAGCCCAGAGTAGATCGTAGCAGCTATGTTAATAAATTCGCTGTTCTACACGAAGAAGAATCGAGTGAGCCAATAGATGTACGTCGGGATGAGCTCTTACCTGAGCCACATACGCCGTTGGTGTTTCGCTCAACTCAGAAAGCGACCATCGAGGACGTACCTGATGAAGAAGATGGACGGTATACGCCACCCGTCATCTATACCCCGACTCCTATGGTGCGATTCAGCAAAGGGAAGGGCGTCGATCGAGGTCTCAATAGATCACCGACACCTTTCCAAATGGAAGGGAATTCCAGAGGTCTAGGGCACTCGAAGGAGCGAAGAACCTTCATCCGTGGAGTCCCTAGTGACGAGCTCGATTCAGACGAGCAAGACACCGCAATTCAGTATTGGAAGGATCGCAAACGATCCGAGAACGAGCGCGTAAAAGTCGAGACTCCCGATAGCTTCGCCAGAGAAATAAAAGATGCCACTGATTCACGAGAACTCTTCATCGCAGAAAAGAACCGTGAGGTGATCGAGGCGAAGACGGCCTTACGCAAAGCCGAACTAGAGATGGAAGAATACAAACGCCGCTATCTCCAAATGATGGCTAGGACTGAGGATCTTTCATCAAACATTGAAGAGTCCATCGAGACCGATGACGACCAGGGCGCTCATGGAAGAGGCGGTGCCGATAGAACGGCATTGCTCCGGCAAGGGGCGGCAGCCTCTGCCGCGTCACAGCAACTCCGCTTTAGGACGCCTGATTACCCTTTTAAGAAGGAGCTTTTCAACTCCGCTCCTACGCATACTGTCCACTCGGCCAGTGCTGCTGTGCCCGCATCAGTAAATCAAGTACCTATCGGTCTTCGACCATCTCAGAACGTGCCTGCTTCTAGTACGTTAGGTAGAACTATTCAACGTCGGCTTGCAAACCTTCGAGAAGCAACGAATGAGCTCGAAAGAGGCAGCGCAAAGGGGAAATCACCCCCGCGATCGGTGATTAAGCCCCAACCTCCGTCCAAATATGACGGAAAGAATAGCCTTGACGTATTCCAACGTTTCGTTGAAGAAGCCTGCGAGTATCTCATTGAGGGACAAGTAACCTCGAAATGGCACGTCCAGAAACTACGTCGCTATCTTACCAAGGAGGCAGAGAAATTCTATAAGCAAAGCGTAAAAATCCCCGAGGATTGGACTATTGAACAGTTTTTCTTGGACTTATTCAACCATTGCTTCGACGATGGCTTTATGGGGCAAGTACGCCGCAAATTCAATACTTGGGTCCAGAAGGAATCCACTGTAAAATCCTTCGCATCCACGCTTGAAGGACTTCGAGAAGACTTAGGAGAAGAGATTAGCGACTTCAGGATGAACCAACGACTTTGGGAAGGCTTGAGGGACGAAATCACAGAATGTCTTTATCATTATGGACTTCACCCAGACTACAGCTCGTACGAAGTAACGCTTGCGTCGGCAATTCAGGCCGAGCAAGCCGTGAACAATACGTTACATAGAAGCTCTAGCTCCGCTAGCCCTACGAGCAATACGTCGGTCCCTAAAGCAAGGAAAGGACGATCCACGAAAGTATCTGTGAACACACCTAAGGTCACCATCAACAAAACAAAGGCAACGCCTTCGCCTAAGTTTGTAAAGAGGCAACCAAGGAAAGATACCCCGAAGATGTCTGAAGAGGAACGTCAGCGCCATATCGATAATGGATTATGCTGGAATTGTTCGCAGGCTGGGCACCTTGGTCGGAACTGTCCTGAACGACAGAAAACGAAAGGTGCCACGAATAAACCACCGGGTAAAACCAGCTACGCAGTCCGGTTACCATTGGTAGAGGACGAATCTGTCGAGGAAGAGGACGATCCCGTCGAAATTATCGATGAGCTTCGAGCACACATGATGAATGTTGTATACGAATCGGATACTGATAGCTCGGAGGGTTCGGATACTGAAGTCGAAGAGTCAGATCGGTCAAGCACTCTATCAGAGCTTGTAGCGATCTATGGAAACCACGGCTTGATATTTCAGAATGGTTTAGATTATTGGGGAAACCCACCGGACACTGAAATACGTCCCGTCGAACCGCGGAAACCTTGGGACCACGCTGCCCGAGCTGAACAATTATGGCACGATCTCGATTATCTTCGCACTCGAGGAATCATTGGTACTGTAATACATTCCCGTGAGATGTACAAGCGGTTACATAACGAGGATCACCTTCAATGTCCCGAAGAAGTGCTCAACCACGAAATGGAAAAGGAACCCGTGTTCAAAAACCGCTTCGGTGACCCTGTACAAGAAAGAATCGAACGACAGATGATATTTGGGATATCGCGACTCCCTCACCTATGGCAGGCCTGGCAGAACGAGCCGCTCGTAGCTTCATGCATGACAACCACGAAGAATGACGAAGTCGTCTGGCTCATAAATGACCCACTCTTGAGTCGACTCGTCTTCATGCCGATGCTGCACATAGGCAGACAGAATTTCGACTTTGTCGGCTGGTACCAGAAACGAACAATCGAGTTCGTAGACCTGTCATATAAATATGAGAAAGGCGAGCTAGATCACGAAGACATTGATTATTACATGGAATGGAATGAAAACCAAACCGCTACTCACCTGGAGGAGACTGAGATTATGGATGGACCTACAGGTTCCGACCACAGCTCGTCTACCTCAAGCTCGGGAGGCACAGAGGATAATCAATCGTTCCCATGTATCGAGGAAACAGAGGGCGACTCTGTTATTGAGCATCAGCTCCAAGGTGCAGACAATCAGGCAACTACCATACCTGACGTCGAATCAACGGCAACAAATCCAAGTTCGACAGGTTATGCCGATAGTTGGTGGGTACATGCCCGACAAATACCTGAGAAATTCCCTCGTGCAAAGATCGAATCAGTGACCGATAAAACAGACTGGAAACTTACAGAGTATTCGGAAACTCTCCCTAGCCTGCATGATCACTATTCAGTGTATAGAGAAGACATCAGTTCAACGGATGAGACAGTGTCTTCGGACCTTAGTTTGGAGGGCGAAGGGGTATCAAATTTGGAACCAACGCCCGAACACATGGAAAACAACGATAGCGTACCTATTGGAGAACTAGATGACGACTTCACAATACGTCCACGATCCGTCAAATTAGTAGATGAATTCTGCGTAAAAGGCATTATCGACCCTCACACATGGAGGGAGTGCAATTCAGTCGAATACAGCATTTGTGCTGCGAGAACCAAACAAGCTCCGGAAGGAAGCTTTCCGTCACTTCAATGAAATGCGGCTCGCGCCAAGATTACTGGCAGAAGTATTCCAAAGCCGCTCGTTATCATAGTACAAGTCAATGGACACGAGTGTCGGGCTCTACTGGACTCAGGATCGCTAGGCGATTTTATGTCCACTACGCTGGCCGAGCAACTCAAAGTTCAACGGACGCCGCTACAGACCCAAATCACGGTACAACTAGCCGCGCAAGGATCAAAGACTAAAGTGAATTATAGCACTACAGTCGAACTAGGCTATGCAAATGTCAAATGTCAGAGAACCTTTGATATCATGAACGTCGACGGCTACGATCTGATTCTAGGAACCCCTTTCATATGGCAACACAAGATATTAATCAGGCTTAACCCCTCTCGCATCCTAATTGGCTCTGACAATCCTGTGGAACTCCGAGTCGGTGAAGACGTAGGTGTCCTAGCCTCTCGGGCTGTCCGCCTTGAAGAGCAGTCCATTAACGAGGTACGAGCAACACTACATGAATACGCGCGACCTCTGTATCAGAAGGCCAACGAAACCGAATTACCACCTCTTCGCCGCGTTAATCATCGGATTCCTATCAAGGATACAAACAAGCGATACCCATTCAGACAGTCAAAGTGCCCTGAAGGATTTCGTGAGTTATGGAACATCAAAAGAGATATATTTCTAAAATCTGGACGATGGCAGTTCGCAAACGGAATCAATGCTGCCCCTCTCATGTTTTTGCGAAAACCCACGGGAGGAATGAGAAACACGGTCGACCTACGAGCAAGGAACGACAACACGGAGAAAATCGCTTCTCCGCTACCTGATCAAGATGGAATTAGGCGCCGCGTTGCCCGTAGCAAGTATTTCACAGCTATGGATCTGGAGGGCGCGTACGAACAAGTACGCGTTGAGCCTGAGGATGTAAAACATACCCTCATGGCTACACCCGACGGAACCATGATCAGTTTAGTACTACAGCAAGGCGATTGTAACGCTATAGCGTACTTTTATGGC